GTGCTTGTCAGTGGTTGAAGGTGGTGGGTAAGGAAGGTGTACTTGAGTAGTTGCTGTTTGGGGCCTTCAGCTGAGTCCGTTGTGGTGCCATCTTTTTGGCAGAGGAGGGTGATTGCAGTGTGATTATGGAATGAGTTGAGTACATAGGCTCTCGTTTCAGTTGCACACGTGTGTGTGTGTGTGTGTGTGTGTGTGTTCATAGAAATGGCACAGTAGCTGAAGGCAGATGTGGAGTAAATGAGGGTTATGAAGCTGAGAGTTGAGACTGTCTTTATGTGATGATGGACCCATTCTGTGGGTTTAGGAACTCTGGGAGAGGAGCAGAGTGATATGAGATACGTTATAAAATATGATAATACCAGACTTGGCCTAGGAAACACTGATAGTTCAACATTCATTCCTCCATCAGTGTGGCTGACCACATCTAAATGAGAGGTTAGGATTTTAAAACGTGCATCTTAGTGATTTTTATGCTCAGAGCTGCCCCTGGCTTCCTGCCACATTTGGAATAACAGTAAAGTTTACTTCTGTGGCCTCAAAGGTCCTCCATGATGTGGCCTCTGCCTTCCTCGTCAGCCACTCACCCTGTCATTAACTCCACCCCTTGTCCCCATTACCAAGCATTGTGTTGCAGGTAACCCTGGGCTTTTGAATTTGTCATTTTCTCCACCTGAAACCTTGTTCCTCAGATCTTGATGTGGTTTGTTCCAACTCCTTTCAGATGCTACTTCTCAGGGAGTCCTTCCTTACTTCCTGCTACTGTGCATGTCCACATTGTCCAGTAGAACTTTTTGTGATGATGGAAATGAAATATTCAGTATCTATTTCGTATAATTACTGACATCCAAAGCCAGTGGCCGTGTGAAGACCCATGCTAGACAACATAGGCTTCATCTCATTTTTACTTTTTCTTTGCCCTTACCATTGCCTGACATTCACCTACAGAGGCTTCATAACAGCAAGGACTTTGTTTCAATCATTGCTGTATTTCCCATACCAACAACAGTGCTGGGTACCTACTAAGGTTCTAATATTTGTTAAATGAATGTGAGATGCTATTTGGTAGAAAAAAGCAGATGTGATATGTGGACACCAAAAGCATGTCATAGGCTAGTCCTGTGACAGGCCCAAGGGAGCACCATATGCTCACCGGTATTTTCAGTGATTAAAAAAAATTACATATTTTTTTTACTATTGAATGTAAATTGATGTTAGGCACTGTCATTTTAATGTGGTTTATTTTCTCATATCACCTTTGTCTTTGTGGCCACTTGACAATGGATCTTAAAATGAAAAGGTCCAAAGACACGTGCAGAATCAAGTAACAAGTTAGCAAACACCAAATAAACTTTACAAAAGTCTTACAAAAGTTTCTAAGGTAGCACTTGCTCTTTGATTATACTCTGCTGCCATCATCTGTTCAGAGAAAAAAAATTGTAAAATCCCATTTAAAGTGATACAGTGTTGAAGGACGGGATAGAACCTAAGTGTTAGAAAAACTCCTCTTGAAGCACACGTAATCAGGACGCAAAGTTGGACATTTTAAGGTGACTGGAAAGGGGAGGCAGAGACAGACAACTAACTCCATTGCAGTGCGGAGTGAAACAATCTCTGGTGCCCTTCCAGTGAGAGATCCTAAAACCAGAGCCCAGCAGGACATGACCCAGAACATGGAGTTCAGATAAATCCACAAGGTGAGGAGAGGCAAGGTGAGATGTGTGTAGGGGCCTCTGAGAAGCAGCTCCACCAAGTCTGGGAAAGCCAGGGATGGCTTCCAGAGGTAAGGACATTGAAATGTGACATTTACGGGTCTTCTGGCTGCCTTGATAACCACCTAAAGCCAAGACAGCTGCGAGTCCTGAGACCCCAACTGCCTTGATCGAATCATACGTACTGTATGATGTTCATCTATGGGTATTTAGGTCAAAACAGGCATTGATGACAAGGGATCATTTATCCAGAACTATATGGTTCACACTGTGAATCCCTCTAGCATCTTAGAGAAAGACTGATTTTGGTTCAGTGAGTCTGGGGCGGCTGAGATCTATAACAAGCTCCCAATGAAATTGATGATCTTTGTCCAGGGGCCATGCTGAGAGTAGAGAGGAAAATCCGAGAGTTGACAGGCCAGGAAATCATGTCCTATAAGGATTAGCGAGCTGGTGGATCCAGTTATACCAACTCAGAGAAGTCAGAGGGCAAGCTGGGGCAACGTGGTACTTGTTTCCCATCTTTGGGAAGGGATGTGCCCTTACTTAGTATCATCCCACAGGAACAGTTAGAGAACAAGGGCAGTGTGGGATTCTGAAGCAACATGGGTTAAATCTCACAGGTTAAGATAGCTGTAAATGGGAAAAACTGGATAACGTTGTGGAGGCTTCCATTTTGAGATTTCATTCAGAGTTGAATGATGATCTTGTGAAAAGATATTTTAGATACATTTCCTGTGCAACAGTTTGAATTTGATGGTCTTTGAAGTCCCATAGAATCTAGAAGGAAGAATTGTTGCAGGAGTAAATTGCTCATTTAATTTCAAGGATTAAAACAGGAAGTTCTGAAGCCAAAAGCATGAGATGTATGTCGTAAGGCAAAACCAAACCGAACAACTCACAGTCGGTGTGAGACCTTAAATATAAAAAAGCTGCTTGTGTGGGTGAAACCAATGGCAGCACTGACGAGTTTTAAACAACTTCTGCTAAAAGGGGCTGGAGGCAGAATAATTAAGAAAACTTCTGGGAAGAGGCAAACATACCGCTGATTTGACCTCCTGGGACTCTGGTTATGTAGTGGCTGATGCTCCAGGGTAATCCCAAGTCTCAAAGGGAAAAGCTGAACAAGAAGAGGCATAATAAGCTTTAGAAAGCCCATAAAATAATTTAAAAACAGATTTGGCATTTTAAAAATGTATCCATCACCATCTGGGGATTTAACACAATGAGTTTTCAAAGGAAAAGTGAGTTTCCAAAACATTTCATCTGCTACTCTCCTCAGCATAGCTAGGTTTTGGAATTGAAAGTTTCCATGAGGAAGGAAATATTTCAGTTGTTTTGTGATAGGAGCACACATCTTATTTTGTTATATTGAGTTGGCCCAGTGTTCTTAATGATGATGATTTGGGCAGGAATATTTGCAAATGTTTCTGAGAGACATATTTTTTTTTCAAGCAATTACCCAGCAAATGTGATTAATGGAGACAATCCATCTGGTAATTGTAGGCACCATATTATTTTGTTTTCCTTCCCTTCCAAACTAGATTTTCTAATCTAAGTTATTTTGTTGTCCCTCTGGGCCATGTTTGTCTCTGTGTAGTTAAAGCAGAATTACATTTTAGTTCTAAATCTATGACTTTCCATTTGTTAGGTTAATAGTGGAGACATCGATTAGATTGTACAATAGTGACTGAACCTCAGTTATTAAGACACACACTGCTTATAAAGGTGTCAGTTGTTGGCAGGAAGTTCAGTAAATGCAGAGAACATATTGTGGTCAGGAAAGACTGAGAGATGGCTCTTTCACACTGCATTGTGTGGGTAGTAACATCTTTTTTCTGTTGTAAAAAATGACTGATTTTATCCTTCTCTAAAATTTAGTGCAAGACCAGGTATATAGCTCAGTGGCTCAAGTGCCTGCCTGGCAAGGACAAGCTCCTGAGGTCCAAGGCCTGTGCCAAAAAAGAAAACAACAAAACACAAACAAACAAACAAACAAACACAAATCCTAGTGGGATTTCTAAGCAAACCATCACTGGCTAATACTTTTCTAGGTAGATTCCAGATACTGGATGGAACTCCTGGCCAAAACTTATTTGCTGAAAGTTATCATACTTCTTCCCATCCTCTTTTAAAACAAGCAATGAAACAGAGGCTCAGCTGGGTAAAGAAATGTGTTCAAAACCTTCTGTTGCATGTCTTGGATGTGAAATGATTCAAGGATTCCTGGCCTGTTTGGTTCTTTACTTCCTGCCCGCACCCCTAGACCTGTGTTTGCCATTCTTCTCTTGCTTATTTGTTTACTTCATTCTCATTTCTAGCTCTTTGTCCTTCTTTCCCAGTTTCTGCCTGGCCTTTCGATTATCCAAAGGTATCTTCTGGTTCTCACCAAAGTCGGTTTATGCTCAGAGTATCACTGATGCTTGTTCTCACTTAGTGCTATCCAACAGGATACTTTTCATTATTATGTAAATTTCTTTGAGAGATGTGAAAGAAATATCTGCTTCCAAACTGAGAGAGTGCCAATACTTCCAAAAATGACTCAGACAAGTCAAGTTTGGTGAGTGAATGAGTTGATTTAAGGTTAGTTACGGAGCAGTCGAGGACCTATGGCCTGCATTGCTGAGGTGCTTCCATTCCAATTTGCTAAGCTGCTGGTTTTTTATAGCTCGAATTAAAATGGCCAAAAAAAAATCAAGGAAATAAGAGTCCTTGAAAAAAGTGCATGTACGCTATTCCCATCTCATCCTTGTCAGGAACTCTGTTGGTCTCAGCAATCACTGTGAAGCCATAGCAGTGGGTGAGCGGGATATTTTGCACACACAGTCTCAGCAACTGGTGAGAGCCCTCAGACAACTAAAAAGTGGCCCATGACAGCATGGAGTTATACTGTACTGGCTAGGGTTTGGAAGACTGTTCTCCCTAAGTGCAGCAGCTGAAATATTCTCTATCTGCACTGTTCTAGTATAGTAGCCACAAACCACAGGAGGTTCTCGAGCACTTGACATGTGTCTAGACAGTGGAGAAACTGATTTTAATTAATAAACTTAAGTGGCTACCTGTGACAATATGCATGGTACAGTAAATATAACTTTGGTTCTTTCATTGACAATGTGAGCAGCTGTCACTAGAGTCATTGGATTTGTCAGTGTTGGGCTCAACTGTAAACTGGTTTAGATTTATTGTTTGCTTATCTTGAGTTCACATGCATGTTGCCTTATTAGTGTTCTTTTTTTTTTTTTTTTGTTCTCATTATTGCCTTGATGGTTTGGAAATTCTGATTTATTTCAGGTTCAACGAAATGAGGACAAATCTACCACTTTGAAACTAGCTGATTTTGGCCTTGCAAAACATGTAGTGAGACCTGTATTTACTGTGTGTGGAACTCCAACATATGTAGCTCCTGAAATTCTTTCTGAGAAAGGTAAGTGTTATATATCACTCTGTGGTGTTCTAAGTCACCTGTTTACAAATGTCTTAATTTTAGTATTTCGTATTTTTCAATGTAGAGCAATTAAAAATCTCCAAGTTGTAGCTCAGGTTTCAAGATTAGAATTTAGTGAAAATATTAGGAGTGGAATTCCTTGAACAAAGCATGAGACATTTTTCCTCATCCATTGTTAGGAAAAAATGAGGAACAAAAATACAAGCTCAACAATCCAGATAAGTTTATTTAGAACAAACCTGAGAGGGACCACCCAGTAAATCTCATTCTTTTATAGGGTTGTGAGCATAAAAGGGGTCTATGAGCAGAAAGGTTCAGGGAAAAAGACTTGTGGCTATCTGTTAGAGATAAAGTTTGAGAAATGTAGGATGTGATGCTTGTGTGTTAGGAGCAGTGCTGGAGAGTGTAATGGGAGTTACAGGGTGAAGCCATGGTATTTAGGCCTTAGTAACCCACAATTATACATCTTCAGCAGATGTGAAAGCATAAGGGGATGCAAGAGGTTTAAACTGTTCTCTGGTTAGCATAGGGTGGCAGCAGTTGGATTCTTTCATCAATCAAGGATTCCCTTGTTATAGAGGACAGATTGGGTGTGTGTGTGTGTGTGTGTGTGTGTGTGTGTGTGTCCATGTGAATGCATGTGTAGCACAGTAAGATAAATATGGCAGAGAAGTATATGAAGAATCAGAGCAAGCAGGGTCATTTTTTTTTGACCCTGACCCAAGCCTACCTCTAACTGGAGAAAACTGAAAAATTTCTGATGGTATTTGATCTAAAAATTCTCTCATCAACCTTGCATTTAAGGGAAAAGGGGTTTCCATTTCAAACTCTGCAAATATTTATTGTCTATTTGCATATTGTGTGAGAATCTGATAAACTGTTTTAGCAACATACTCTGCAAAGTATGTAAAAAAGAAGTAATTATTACATGGTTCTGCATAAATGGATGATTTTTTTGCTAGTGTGGCATTCCAGAAGGAGTAGATTTACCCACCCAGGTGAGATAGGAAGGCTCTGGATAAGTTTCAGGCTTGGTGGTAGTGAGAAGGGAGGGACCCTTTCCCAATAGTAGAAGCTTCAGGGAAATTGAGAGAGACTAGAACATGTATAAAGCTGAGTTGCAGGGGCTTTGAGAAGACTACTCTCAGTGCACCAGAGAGAGTTGGGGGGGGGTAGACTGAGCCTAGGTTCACCACTAATGGGAATGTGGTGGAATTACCAGCATGATAGCCACCTTAGTGTTGTGGCAGTGGAGCAGGACAATACTGAGGGACATTTTGTGGAAATGTTGGTGAACTGGATAAGAGAAGAAAGCACAAGGACAGCATGAACACCACGCATTGATGTTTGCACCAGCCAAAACAGAGTGTTGAAAAGAACTGAGCAGGAAGGTGGTGGGGAAAGTTAAACTTGGACATAGTGGTATTATAGGGTACCAGAGAATGGAGTTGTCCATTGGTAAGGAAGGGACGCCTTCAGCTAAACATATAGTTTTGAGTCTTATCAAGCTGGTGACAGAGCCAATGAGATAATGAGCTCACTAGAGATATAACAGCATGGATAGCTAAGTGTGGACCTGAGTGAAGTCCAGAGTTCTGGCATGATGGAAGGAAGGAGGACTCACCAGAGGTGTGAGCTACCTGGGAAAGGAAGAGGATCAGGAAAGTGCAATAAGGCAGAGGTCAGCAAGAGATTTCCAAAAGACAGAGCAGTCCAGCAAGAGTCCATACCCTTCATGAGAACCATTGCAGATGCCATCAAAATGGAACAGAAGGAGCTACCATGGTGGTGCACACTTGTAATAGTACAAAAGAGCTCTGGAGACAGAGGTAGGAGGATCACAAGTTTCAACACAGCAAGACTGTGACTTGGCAAGACTGTATTTCAAAAATTAATGAAGAGACAAACAAAAAAAATAAACAAAGGGCTGGGGGATATAGCTTAATGTGAAGGCCACGGGTCCCATCCCTAGACTAGGGGGGAAAAAAACCAAAAGAGTTTATTCGTGGCTTATTTTTTTTAAGTTACTCTCATTGATTTGTTTTTTTGACAAACTTCACCCTGAGGCTTAATATTGAGCATCTGATTTTCATGTTAGAGCTGCCAAATGTTTTCCTCTACTATAATAAAAATGTTAGAAAGCACATGAAAATGTATGCATCATGTTACAACTTTTGGGGAAATGATTGTGATATGTATCAGAAACTTCACTGTGTATTACTTTGTGCATTTTATGTCTAGAAAGTTACGTTAAGAAGATGATCTTATGTGCACAAATATTTCCTGTATAAGGGTACTCATCAGAAAATTTCTTACAGTTGTGAAAAATTTAGAAAACATTAAACCACAACACATGAATTCATTGCATGAGGAGTATACTGATATATGTTAGAAATCATGTGTGTGGGCTCAGCAGATTTTGGGCCTGCCTGCATCAAATTCCCAGCTTCCTGTTGTGCTCGGCAAGCTCCGGGGATCTTGGGCCTGCCTGTGCCCTCAATTCTGAAAACTGGGCAGCTGGAGGTTTTGCGCCTGCCAGCCCCATGCCCAGTGACCCTCTCTCAATCTGGGGAACGGGACAGCCAGAGTCCCAGGAGCTGAGAGCATAGAAGAAGATTTCCAACAGGCCCAATGGAAGCCTTGGAATAACACTTGAAACATGGAAATGTAGGAAAATGACAAAATGAAAAACCAAAATACAATCTCAAACCTCCAGCCCATCCCAAGAAACCTTAGGAGCTATGTATGCAGAAGAAAATATATGCCATACACCTGAAATACCTGAAATAATACCAACTGAAATAAAGAAGCAACTCTGGGAAGCTTTAAAGGAATTCAAACAAGAAATAATCTCCCAGGTAAAAGAAGAAATGCTAAAAGAAATGAAAGAGATGCTGAACACATCTAAAGAAGACACAGTTAAAAAATTAGAGGGTGAACAATATAAGAAACAAACAGAATACATGAAGCAGATGCAAAGAGATATACAAGAAATCAAAAATTCCATTGAAAGTTGTCAAAAAGTGTTGCAATGAAAGTGAAGATAGAATTTCAGACCTTGAAGACAAGGCTGCAGCTATTGAACAGGAAAGGAAAGATCTTTGAAAAATAACAAGGAATTAGAAAATAACAACTTGAGGGGGAGAACATGGTGGACAGATAACAGCAGCTATGGAGGCTCTCTGAAAGACTCGGCTCAGAATTCAGGAATGGTGCGGAGTAAGGAGACATAAGCAGGTGGAGATATGCTCTGCTGGCCCAGGAACTGGGCTGAGAGAAACCAACTTGGAACGCAGTCCTGGTGCCAGAACAGGAACAGAGGGGCCTCAGTGTGGAGGCTGGAGCCCGCGCCATTGGAAGCCGCGATTTGGGTTTCCTGCCGCGCGCATCTGATTTCTAACATATATACCGGGCTGCATCTACATCGGCTCGGCAAGGAGAGAAACGCGCAGAAGCTCTGAAGGACGGGCGGGGAGCCGTGCACTGACGTGGTGAGGTGAGTGAGAGAAACTGACACTCTACCACAGTTTGACTCCAGCGGAGGACATTCTGGGACTGGGCAGACTTGCGGGAGCAGGGCGCTGCGGCGACTTCAGCCATGTATCCCCCTCTCAAGCGGGATTGGTGAGAAGTGCCTAGCCTACGTGACTCTGCTGGTGGAGACCCAATAGGCTAGCACAACCCAGATCCCAGAGCCTGAGGGTGGCCTGGAGGGGCGGGCCCCGCGTAGGCTGCCTGGTATGGAATTTCCTGGTGTGCTGCAGTGGGTGGGAACACCTAGCTGGTGCAATTCGATCAGGCTGTGGCTGACAGGGAGGGAAGCTGGGCCTCCTATATAAGCTTGCATATATAAGGAACAAAGAATATGGGAAGAGGCAGCAACAAGAAAGGCTCCTCAGCCCCTAATCCTGAGAAACAGGTAATAGTGGACACCCCGCCAATAGACATAAAGCACCATCTAGAGAGCCTCATAGATCAGTTCAGGAATGAACTTATTAATGACCTGAAGCTAGAAGTAAGCAGAATAGTTAGAGAAATGCTAAGCACCACCCAAGAAAAAACAGATGGTGGAATGGAAGAACAGAAAAAGAGGGGAGAATTGTTTGATGGAGAAAATAGAGAAAGCATAGAATACGTGAAGCAGGTATTAGGGACTACCAGGAAACTAAAAACTCTATCGAAAACTGGCATAACAGCTTGAAAGAAACTAAGGACAGACTATCTGAATGGAGGGCAGATTTGTAATATGGGAGAATGAAATGAAAAACTTCTTGAAAGTAACAAAGAAACAAACAGCAATAATACAAAGACAAGAAGATGATAAGAGGATCCATAACTTAAGAACATAAAAGAAGAAGTAGGGACACAAACAAATGAACTACAAAAGCTACTCACAGAAATAATCCAGGAGAATTTTCCTAATTTAGCAAAAGGTAAAGATACTCAGATGTATGAGGCATACAGGATCCCAGCCACCTACAACCCAAACAGAGCAACACCCAGGCATATAATAATAAAAATTCCAGAAATTCAATGCAAGAACAGAATATTAAAAGCTGTCAGAGACAAGAAACAGACCACTTACAAGGGAACACCCATCAGAATTACAGCAGATTTCTCTGCACAAACCATCAAATCACGAAGAGCATGGGGGAAATAATTCAAGCTTTGAAAGACAACCAGCCAAGATTGAGATATCCTGCACAACTGTCCCTGGAAATTGATGGAAAAACAAGGTGCTTCCAGGATAAAGAGGAACTGGGGGAATTTGCAACCACCAATTCAACTCTACAGAGAGTATTGCAGGATATTCTAAAAAAAGAAAAATACAAAGAATACAGAAATAGTGGCGGGGAGGCCACAATGAATGGAGCAGAGAACAAAATGAAGAAGACAAACTGACAACTAATGACAGAAAAAGAGCTCAACAGAAATGAGGCAGAAAAGATTGGATGATAGGAACAGCTATTTTGGAGAAA